TTTTTTCTAGTGCATAGTATTTATGGTGAAACATTTGGATCGCCTGTGCTAAGGGGCAGGCTACTACAGGTGAGATAAATGTCACTACATTAAGTTTACTGTAATAAACAGAAGAGAGATCAACTTTACAGTCTGGTAAGTGGGAGTAATGCTTATCACAGCTCACCGAGTAAGAATCTAATAAATATTTAACATTTGCCAAACTACACCCCATCACTGAACCAGGGTACATAATATCTGTTTACACTGATTCCCATAGTTGAGAGGCTGGGCCCACAGATCTGGTGCCTGGGATGGTTATCTTTCATGAGTTTTGCAAAGATGATTCATATGATTGTGCAAACTGTGCTTAACAGGTCCAGTTCTCTAACAAATACTTACAATTAAGTGTACCATTGGTTGTATGAAATATTTTGGCATGAGTTACAGAAAACACTTTTGTATTGATTGCATCAGTCTATTCTAACAGGTTTCAGAGTAGCAGCCATGTTAGTCTGTATCCGCAAAAAGAACAGGAGTACTTGTGGCATCTTAGAGACTAACAAATTTATTTGAGCATAAGCTTTCGTGGGCTACAACCCACTTCATCAGATGCATAGAATGGAGCATATAGTAAGGATATATATATATATATATATACACACACACACACACAACACGAAAAGGTGGAAGTAGCCATACGAATTCTTAAGAGGCTAATTAATTAAGATGAACTATTATCAGCAGGAGAAAAAAAACTTTTGTAGTGATAATCAAGATGGCCCATTTTAGACAGTTGACATCTTAATTAATTAGCCTCTTACAGTTGGTATGGCTACTTCCACTTTTTCATGTTCTATGTATGTGTGTATATATATATATATGTCTTCTTACTATATGTTCCATTCTATGCATCTGATGAAGTGGGCTGTAGCCCATGAAAGCTTATGCTCAACTAAATTTGTTAGTCTCTAAGGTGCCACAAGTACTTCTATTCTAACAGTGCAATTTTCTATTGTATTCTACTTTTCAGTGAACTGGCAGCTTTTGAAAAAACTTGGATATTTACTTCAGGAGCGTCGTGTTGTTAGTTGTATAGAGCATTTCACCCTAGCAGAGGTAGCAGTTCTGCCATGCTGAAAAATACCTAATAATTCCTCAGTATGAGATGTTCTCTATGGGGGGGGCGTTCCCAGACACACTGCTTTTTGGCTTCAAAACTAAGATTTATAAAAACAACTTCTTATAAAAATGTGCACCCTAGTCACAACCATTCTTGCTCTCTTGCAAAGCAAACAGGCCATCGAGGGACCTCTGTCTTTGAGTGAAATGGGAAGAGTTCCTTAAATACATTCGCTGTTTCACATAGGCTGACCAGATAGCAAGTGTGAAAAATTGGGACGGGGGTGGGGGGTAATAGGAGCCAATATAAGAAAAAGCCCCAAATATCAGGACTGTCCCTATAAAATCGGGACATCTGGTTACCCTAGTCCCCCACATCGTAGTGTTTATACAGTTACCTGACTTCTACTTCACTCTGACCCGAGGCCCATGCTAAAAAGACACAACCTCTTTCTAGAACAGGTCTCTCCCACCTAGCTAAGTTTAAGCATGTTCTGGTGGGAGAGCTATGTCAAATACCTTCCTGTATAC